GGAAGAAGTGCAGCCAGAGTGCTCCTTAGAGGCCAAGATGGCCAAACTTCGCCTCTCCTACTTTGGACATATTGTCAGGAGGGAACAGTCGCTGGAGAAGGCTATCATGCTTGGTAAGATGGAGGGTTGGAGAAAAAGAGGAAGACCCCCAACGAGATGGATTGGCCAGGTGGCAGCATCGATGGATTCAAGTGTGGCAACAGTAGTGAGGTTGGCTCAGGATCGGGCAGTGTTTCGTTCTGCTGTGCATAAGGTCGCTATGAGTTGGTGCCGACTCGATGGCACCTAACAACCACAACAACAGGCAAAATATTGACTGATGCAGACAGCATCAAAGAAGATGCAAGTAATAGACAGTCATTGTGCCAAAATGAAATGGTTGATGGTAACTGTTTCAAGAGGTAGCATATATTCAGGAGCCAATGATATTGGAGGAAGAAGTCTGAGGTGCACTGAAGGCACTGGAAAAGAAAAAGTCTCCAGGAAGTGATGGAATACAAACAGAAATCTTTCAATAAATTGATGACATCTTTCAACAAAATTAGTGCACTGGAGGCACTCATTCATCTATGCCAAGAAATTTGGAAGACAGCTCCTTAGCCAAATGACTGTAAGAGATCTACATTTGTGCCCATTTCAAAGAGAGGTGACCCAACGGAATGCAGAAATCATCAGACAATATCACTACTATCACATGCAAGCAAGATTTTGGTAAAGATAATTTAAAAAGGGAACTGTCAGAGGTTCAAGCCAGAATCAGATGAGGGATATCATTACTGACATCAGAGGATCTTGGCTTAAAGCAGGGAATACTAGAAAGATGGTTACATGTGCTTTATTGTCTATGCAAAGACTTTCGACTATGTGGATCATGACAAGATATGGACAGCATTTCGGAGTTTGAATATCCTGGAACACTTAATTGTGCTCATGAGGAACTTGTACACAGAGGCAGTTGTTTGACAAGAACCAGGAAACACTGAATGATTTGAAATCAGGAAAGGTGTGCACCAGGGCTGTATTCTTTCACCATACTTATTCAATCTGTATGCTGAACAAATAATCAGAAAAGCTGGATTATCTGAAGAGGAAAGTAGCATCAGGATTGAAGGTAGACTCATTAACAACACCCTGAGATATGCAGATGATATAATCTTGCTTGCTGGAAATGAAGAGAACTTAAAATACTTACTGATGAAGATCAAAGACTACAGCTTTCAGTATGGGTTGCAGTTCGATGTAAAGAAAACAAAAATCCTCACCACTAGACCAATAAATAACATCATGAAAAATGAAGAAAGATTGAAGTTGGTTATCAAAGACCTCATTTTGCTTGGATCCACAATCAACACTCATGGAAGCAGCAGTCAGGAAGTCAAATGATACAGTCAAACATTAGACAAATCTGCTGCACAAGATCTCTTCAAAGTGTTTAAGAGCAAAGATGTCAGCTTGAGAAGTAAGGTGTGCCTGACCCAAGCCATGGTATTTTCAATAACCTCATATGCATGCGAAAGCTGGACAGTGAATAAGGAAGACCGTA